ACAAGACGAATAGGAAGTCGAGCGAACTACTTGTAGTAGTAGTGATAATGAAAAGGATTAAATATCAGTATATCTGTTTAGAGAAAACGAGTTTATGTATGGAAGGAACACTGGTCCTCATAATTTCTTGGTACGACCGAGAATAGGAAGAGTCCTATCTCCCTTTCGAAGTGCTTTCGTATGGCCACACATATGCCAGTCAGTCAGTCAGTTACAACGCAGAACTCCGTACATAAGTACATAAGTTAATATTGCTATACTACATTAGCACAGAGACTCAATTGTCAGTTCAAATCCTATAGTGCTACAAACAGAAGTATTAACAGTAATCGGGATTATAGTTCGAAGATATTATTCAAGAAGTATAATTCATAGAGATAAATCTAGAAAGAGAGAGATGAGGAATTCAGAAGACTAGAATTTGAGAGAACACATAGAGTGGATGTATTTGCACCATTGCAAATGATTTTGTCCCATGTCATTCAAGGTCTCTAACCATCGGTTTCTGTCATCTCGCGGACTCCAACCAGATAGCCTACATCTACCAACATGACTCAGTCCACTTGTTAGTAACTTCATGAATTTGTGCCATGTGCTACACGTATGTATTCACCGTCAGGCATCTCCTACTCAATGCCTTCTCTCACAGAAGAAGTGTTGCTTACTAAATTAACAGGATGGTGAACGAATATATGGTGGAACCGGGTTAGTGGGTACGAAGTATCCACCTTGTGGAGTTGTAAAACCCTTATTCCAAAGTAATGGTGCACATGAGCTCAGGATGCTAATGTAACAAATGGCATACGAACCTAATGTTGGTCATCGACTACCACGAGAATACATCTGACATTACTCCACTGTCTTGTGAATTAGACTCATAGGTCAAAGGCTCAGGGAGTAGTCATTTAAGAATGCCGCTAGCTTTGGTTCGGGCAATCGGACAGTATCCCAACCCACACACAAAATAATAAGTTTGTATGGCATGTAAATATATGTAGGTGGCTCTTTGTTTCTATGTTTGAATTAAACAAATAAGTTTCAAACTTTCAAAGAATAAGATAATAATTAAGTGCATGATTTTTCTTCATCATGTTTCATTACTATAGTCAGTCAGTCAGCTACAGTGTACGTACATACATCAGTTCAAGTTGCCATAACACATTAGCTCAAACAGATTGAATTGTCAATTAAAATCTCATAGTATTAGAGGTTGTAAAAATATAAGCAGTAATCTGTAAGATTAGGGTTTGAAGATGTCATTCAAGAAGTATAATCCAATGAGAGGTAAATTTAAAAACAGAAAAAACGGTGAAGAGGAATTCAGAAGATTAAAATTCGAGAGAACACAAATGGTGTATGCCTTTGCGCCATTGCAAACGATTTTGAGTCATGTCATTCTAGGTCTATAACCATCCATCATTATTGTCTTGCGGACCCCAACCAAGTAGTCTACATCACAAAACATTGCTCATTGTGGCAGTCATAACACATGTCATGTCCTAACCCTAACTGAG